TATTATATCTTCATCTCTATCCCCCCAATATAACACCATGATGTTAATGCTGGAGTGGTGGTTGTATGAATGGAAGATGTTGGAGCCCGAGGATGAGGTGGACATGCAAGGTGTGAAATTTAACATCATAATATCTAAAAAAGAATCACGTGATAAATCTTGCAAGCAAAGCACTCAAGAAGCAACAGCACTAAGATATATCTCGTACCTGCTAAACAGCAGAGCTACAACACTTTGTACGAGACACACTGACAATCACTTTTAGTATGGCTGACTTTGTAAAACATTCTTGATCACTACCTTCTTTCCATATTTTGAGGACACTTCTTGCCAACATTTTCCCCTTCTCGTATTGTACACACATAGTTCCAGTGTTGTGTACACATAGTTCCAGTGTTGTGCACACATAGTTCCAGTGTTGTGTACACATAGTTCCAGTGTTGTGAACACATAGTTCCAGTGTTGTGTACACATAGTTCCAGTGTTGTGCCACCATAGTTCCAGTGTTGTGCACACATAGTTCCAGTGTTTTTGCACACATAGTTCCATTGTTGTGCAACATAGTTCCAGTGTTGTGCAAAACATAGTTCCAGTGTTGTGCACACATAGTTTCATTGTTGTGCACACATAGTTCCAGTGTTGTGCACACATAATTCCAGTGTTGTGCACACATAGTTCCATTGTTGTGCACACATAGTTCCAGTGTTGTGCACACATAGTTCCAGTGTTGTCCACACATAGTTCCAGTGTTGTGCACACATAGTTTCAGTGTTGTGCACACATAGTTCCAGTGTTGTGCACACATAGTTCCATTGTTGTGTACACATAGTTCCAGTGTTGTGCACACATAGTTCCAGTGTTGTCCACACATAGTTCCAGTGTTGTGCACACATAGTTTCAGTGTTGTGCACACATAGTTCCAGTGTTGTGCACACATAGTTCCAGTGTTGTGCACACATAGTTCCAATGATGTGCACACAATTCCATTGTTGTGCACACATAGTTCCAGTGTTGTGCACACAATTCCAGTGTTGTGCACACATAGTTCCAGTGTTGTGCACACAATTCCATTGCTGTGCACACATAGTTCCAGTGTTGTGCACACAATTCCAGTGTTGTGCACACATAGTTCCAATGTTGTGTACACAGAGTTCCATTGTTGTGCACACATAGTTCCAGTGTTGTGCACACATAGTTCCAGTGTTGTGTACACATAGTTCCAGTGTTGTGCACACAGTTCCAATGTTGTGCTCACATAGTTCCAGTATTGTGCACACATAGTTCCAGTGTTGTGCACACATAGTTCCAGTGTTGTGCACACATAGTTCCAGTGTTGTGCACACAGTTCCAATGTTGTGCACACATAGTTCCAGTGTTGTGCAACATAGTTTCCAGTGTTGTGCACACATAGTTCCAGTGTTGTGCACACATAGTTCCAGTGTTGTGCACACATAGTTCCAGTGTTGTGCACACATAGTTCCAGTGTTGTGCACACATAGTTCCAGTTTTGTGCACACATAGTTTCATTGTGTACACATAATTCCAGTGTTGTGCACACATAGTTTCAGTGTTGTGTACACATAGTTCCAGTGTTGTGCACACATAGTTCCAGTGTTGTGCACATAGTTTCATTGTGTACACATAATTCCAGTGTTGTGCACACATAGTTTCAGTGTTGTGCACACATAGTTTCAGTGTTGTGTACACATAGTTCCAGTGTTGTGCACACATAGTTCCAGTGTTGTGCACACATAGTTCCAGTGTTGTGCACACATAGTTCCAGTGTTGTGCACACATAGTTCCAGTGTTGTGCACATAGTTTCATTGTGTACACATAATTCCAGTGTTGTCCACACATAGTTCCAGTGTTGTGCACACATAGTTTCATTGTGTACACATAGTTCCAGTGTTGTGCACACATAGTTCCAGTGTTATGCACACATAGTTTCATTGTGTACACATAATTCCAGTGTTGTGCACACATAGTTTCAGTGTTGTGTACACATAGTTCCAGTGTTGTGCACACATAGTTCCAGTGTTGTGCACACATAGTTCCAGTGTTGTGCACACATAGTTCCAGTGTTGTGCACACATAATTCCAGTGTTGTGCACACATAGTTTCAGTGTTGTGCATACATAGTTTCAGTGTTGTGCACACATAGTTTCAGTGTTGTGCACACATAGTTTCAGTGTTGTGCATACATAGTTTCAGTGTTGTGCACACATAGTTTCAGTGTTGTGCACACATAATTCCAGTGTTGTGCACACATAGTTTCAGTGTTGTGCACACATAGTTTCAGTGTTGTGCACACATAATTCCAGTGTTGTGCACACATAATTCCAGTGTTGTGCACACATAGTTTCAGTGTTGTGCACACATAGTTTCAGTGTTGTGCATACATAGTTCCAGTGTTGTGCACACATAGTTTCAGTGTTGTGCACACATAGTTTCAGTGTTGTGCACACATAATTCCAGTGTTGTGCACACATAGTTTCAGTGTTGTGCACACATAGTTTCAGTGTTGTGCACACATAGTTTCAGTGTTGTGCACACATAATTCCAGTGTTGTGCACACATAGTTTCAGTGTTGTGCACACATAGTTTCAGTGTTGTGCACACATAGTTTCAGTGTTGTGCACACATAGTTTCAGTGTTGTGCACACATAGTTTCATTGTGTACACATAATTCCAGTGTTGTGCACACATAGTTCCAGTGTTGTGCACACATAGTTTCAATGTTGTGCACACATAGTTTCAATGTTGTGTACACATAGTTCCAGTGTTGTGCACACATAGTTCCAGTGTTGTGCACACATAGTTCCAGTGTTGTGCACACATAGTTTCAATGTTGTGCACACATAGTTTCAATGTTGTGCACACATAGTTTCAGTGTTGTGCACACATAGTTTCAATGTTGTGTACACATAGTTCCAGTGTTGTGCACACATAGTTCCAGTGTTGTGCACACAGTTTCAGTGTTGTGCACACATAGTTCCAGTGTTGTGCATACATAGTTCCAGTGTTGTGCACACATAGTTGCAGTGTTGTGCACACATAGTTCCAGTGTTGTGCACACATAGTTCCAGTGTTGTGCACACATAGTTCCAGTGTTGTGCACACATAGTTCAAGTGTTGTGCACTCATAGTTCCAGTGTTCGGCTGGAGGCAGTGGAGATGTCATGTCTGAGGGCAATGTGTTGTGTGAATATCATGCAGAGAATTCGTAGTGTGGAAATTAGGAGAAGGTGCGGAGTTGCTAAAAGTATTAATGAGAGGGCTGAAGAGGGGTTGTTGAGGTGGTTTGGTCATTTAGAGAGAATGGAACAAAGTAGAATGACTTGGAGAGCATATAAATCTGTAGGGAAAGGAAGGCGGGATAGGGTTCGTTCTCGAAGAGGTTAGAGGGACGGGGTGAAAGAGGTTTTGTGGGCGAGGGGCTTGGAGTTCCAGCAAGCTTGTTTGAGCATGTTAGATAGGAGTGAATGGAGTCGAATGGTTTTTGGGACCTGGCGAGCTGTTGGAGTGTAAGCAGGGTAATATTATGTGAAGGGATTCAGGGAAGCTGGTTAGCAGGACTCGAGTCGTGGAGGTGGGAAGTACAATGCCTGCACTTTAAAGGACGGGTTTGGCAGATTGGAGGGACTTCTAAACTGTTGTATCTGAGCGCCTCTGCAAAGACAGTGATGGTGAAATTGTTTTCTTTCTTTTAACATAAGAACATAAGAAAGGAGGATCACTGCAGCAGTTTTTGTGTTTTTCTTTCCTTTGGGGGTGACTCTGCCTCGGTGGGAAGCGGCCGACGTGTTAAAAAAAAATTTTAATGCAGGTTGACACTTGAAGAAATAAAGTCCGTGATTATCCAGAGAATTTCTGGCAAACTTAAGCCAAACTTAACACTACAAGGCAATAATCATTACATATATATTCAATAATAACCCGCATGGAGAGAGAACCTCACAATATTAATTGGTCTGTATATTTCGATCCCATTGATCCCCTCCATCTGCTGAAGAGAATCACAGAAGGGGATCCAAATACGGATTAGTTAATCTTCTGAGTTTATGTATTTATGTGAGTTATTACTGAGCGTTAGCAAGTGTCATTAAACTTTATTTATCCATTACATATATGGTTTTTCTCTCCATGGGGAAGTGGAACAGAATACTTCCTTCGTGAGTCATGCGTGTCGCAAGAGGCGACTAAAATGCCGGGAGCAAGGTGCTAGTAACCCCTTTTCCTGTATATATTACTAAAGTTAAAAGGAGAAACTTGCGTTTTTTCTTTTTTGGGCCACCCTGCCTCGGTGGGCCACCCTGCCTCGGTGGGCCACCCTGCCTCGGTGGGCCACCCTGCCTCGGTGGGTCACCCTGCCTCGGTGGGCCACCCTGCCTCAGTGGGCCACCCTGCCTCGGTGGGCCACCCTGCCTCAGTGGGCCACCCTGCCTCGGTGGGCCACCCTGCCTCGGTGGGCCACCCTGCCTCAGTGGGCCACCCTGCCTCGGTGGGCCACCCTGCCTCGGTGGGCCACCCTGCCTGGGTGGGCCACCCTGCCTCGGTGGGCCACCCTGCCTCGGTGGGCCACCCTGCCTCGATGGGCCACCCTGCCTCGGTGGGGCACCCTGCCTCGGTGGGCCACCCTGCCTCGGTGGGCCACCCTGCCTCGGTGGGCCACCCTGCCTGGGTGGGCCACCCTGCCTGGGTGGGCCACCCTGCCTCAGTATGCTTTTAATGACATTAAGTGTATATAAATAATATAGAGTATATAATGCATGTATATTACCTGGAGTTTACCTGGAGAGAGTTCCGGGGGTCAACGCCCCCGCGGCCCGGTCTGTGACCAGGCCTCCTGGTGGATCAGAGCCTGATCAACCAGGCTGTTACTGCTGGCTGCACGCAATCCAACGTACGAGCCACAGCCTGGCTGGTCAGGTGCCGATTTATATGTATGTAGATTAAATATATCTTTGTACATGATGACTAATTTTATTTTTAACTAAGTATATTTATTTTCCGCCTTACAGATTGGCGATGGTTGCTGTAGATGAGGCCTGTGTGGCATGGTGGGTCGTGGGTGTGGTGGTGGTGGTGGGCGCCTAGCACCACCCACCTCGAAGGCTGTTGTCCGGCCCCCTGCCCGCCGCCCTCTGCCCTGCCCCCCCACCTACTGTCATGGTGCAGGCCAATGAGGAAGTGATGTGCGACTCCCGGCCCTCTACAAGTGGCTCCGGTCCGTATGTGCACAACAAGGTGGCACTCAACAACAGGTGGCCAGGGGGCGCACGGCCCAAGATCTTCAACCACAGGTCCTTTAGCTCTGGCTCACGGCCATCGGTGTTATCACGGGCTTCAGGGTCTCTGCGGTCTGCCTCGCGCTCTGGCTCAGGTCTTGGCTCTAGGGGGTCGTTGCTCTCAGGGTCTGTGGGAACAGCAGAGGAGGTGGGCTCTGGGGTGTCTAGACTACGGAGGGAACTGCCATCCATCTCCGACATTTGCGGTTACGATGAAGTACAGGAGCTCTTGCGGGATATAGAGCAACTGGAGTGTCGCCGCTGGACATCCGACTGGGACTCCTTCACTATCCAGTCATCCCATCCGGATCTCGACATCCCTCACGACCTCGATCTCCTATCCCACGACTTCGAGACCCTATCCCGCTGTGACTCCAGGCTCTCCTGGGACTCTCACGCGGGACGTCAGCCGGAGGACGATGATGACGATGACGACCCCAGCCCTGGCAACTATTCTCCCGAGCCTCAGAGAAATCGTCGTCCAACACCCACTATCACTATAGCCTGGGATGACTCCCACCTCAAGACCTCAGTCGGCATTTTTAGACTATTATTAGTAGTAAGTTTAGGAGCTGTCATTGGTCAGCTCTTCACAGTAGTAACGCTAGTCTTCATAGTTAAGGTACTGTTTGTAAGTCTACTAAGACTAGTGTTGGTAGTAACTCTAGTAAGCTACTGTTGGTATTAAGTCTAGTAGTAGTAGTAGTAGTAATGATAGTACTGGTATCAAGTCTAGTAGCATTAGTAATAGTGATAGTATTAGTATCAAGTCTAGTAGTAGTAACAGTGATAGTATTGGTATCAAGTCTAGTAGTAGTAACAGTGATAGTATTGGTATCAAGTCTAGTAGCAGTAGTAATAGTGATAGTATTGGTATCAAGTCTAGTAGTAGTAGTAATAGTGATAGTATTGGTATCAAGTCTAGTAGTAGTAGTAACAGTGATATTATTGGTATCAAGTCTAGTAGTAGTAACAGTGATAGTATTGGTATCAAGTCTAGTAGTAGTAACAGTGATAGTATTGGTATCAAGTCTAGTAGTAGTAACAGTGATAGTATTGGTATCAAGTCTAGTAGCAGTGGTAATAGTGATAGTATTAGTATCAAGTCTAGTAGTAGTAACAGTAATAGTATTGGTATCAAGTCTAGTAGCATTAGTAATAGTGATAGTATTAGTATCAAGTCTAGTAGTAGTAAAAAGTGATGTATTGGTATCAAGTCTAGTAGTAGTAACAGTGATAGTATTGGTATCAAGTCTAGTAGCAGTAGTAATAGTGATAGTATTGGTATCAAGTCTAGTAGTAGTAACAGTGATAGTATTGGTATCAAGTCTAGTAGTAGTAACAGTGATAGTATTGGTATCAAGTCTAGTAGTAGTAACAGTGATAGTATGGTATCAAGTCTAGTAGCAGTAGTAATAGTGATAGTATTGGTATCAAGTCTAGTAGTAGTAACAGTGATAGTATTGGTATCAAGTCTAGTAGTAGTAACAGTGATAGTATTGGTATCAAGTCTAGTAGCAGTAGTAATAGTGATAGTATTAGTATCAAGTCTAGTAGTAGTAACAGTGATAGTATTGGTATCAAGTCTAGTAGCAGTAGTAATAGTGATAGTATTAGTATCAAGTCTAGTAGTAGTAACAGTGATAGTATTGGTATCAAGTCTAGTAGCAGTAGTAATAGTGATAGTATTGGTATCAAGTCTAGTAGTAGTAACAGTGATAGTATTTGTATCAAGTCTAGTAGTAGTAACAGTGATAGTATTGGTATCAAGTCTAGTAGCAGTAGTAATAGTGATAGTATTGGTATCAAGTCTAGTAGTAGTAACAGTGATAGTATTGTATCAAGTCTAGTAGCAGTAGTAATAGTGATAGTATTGGTATCAAGTCTAGTAGTAGTAACAGTGATAGTATTGGTATCAAGTCTAGTAGCAGTAGTAATAGTGATAGTATTGGTATCAAGTCTAGTAGTAGTAACAGTGATAGTATTTGTATCAAGTCTAGTAGTAGTAACAGTAATAGTATTGGTATCAAGTCTAGTAGCAGTAGTAATAGTGATAGTATTGGTATCAAGTCTAGTAGTAGTAACAGTGATAGTATTGGTATCAAGTCTAGTAGTAGTAACAGTGATAGTATTGGTATCAAGTCTAGTAGTAGTAACAGTGATAGTATTGGTATCAAGTCTAGTAGCAGTAGTAATAGTGATAGTATTGTATCAAGTCTAGTAGTAGTAACAGTGATAGTATTGGTATCAAGTCTAGTAGTAGTAACAGTGATAGTATTGGTATCAAGTCTAATAGTAGTAACAGTGATAGTATTGGTATCAAGTCTAGTAGTAGTAACAGTGATAGTATTGGTATCAAGTCTAGTACTATTACGTCTAGTTTTAACAAGGGGTGAAATAAATGGTTAATATTATTTATTATAGTGTCATAAAATATAAGTCGTAATATACGACTGGCAATAAATTAACGGAAAGATGGGCGGGGGATCGAACCGTGTCTCTGGCAGCCGGACCAGCGCTTCACAGGTGAGTTGCGAGGATACTGATGGGAAGAAACGGGAAAGAGACCGTCTGTTTATGTTTTCCGTTGTGCAGAGAGATGAAAAATTAAACACATGTACAACATCTGGGTATCTTTATTTCTAGACGTTTCGCCAACCAGTGGCTTTTTCAGTACAATACAAGGACTTAGTGCGAAGAATTATGTACAGAAGATGAGGTAGTCAGTCGCTCAGTCTTGGAGTTGGTGATGATCACCATAGTCTTGAAGATTAGTCCTGAAGACTACGGTGATCTTCACCAACTTTAAGGCTGATGGATTGATCACCTCATCTTTTGTATATAATTCTTCACAATATGTCCTTGTATTGTACTGATAAAGGCACTGGTTGGCGAAACGTCTACAAATAAAGATACCCAGATGTTGTTACATGTGTTTAATTCTTCGGCCGTGAGCCTACTGTTGCAGCAAAGTGCTGGTCCTGCTACTACCAGGGCCACGAGTCAAGTCTCCTGTCCATCGTTATGTATATTCATACTGTTATACATCTACTGTAGTTATTGTAGATGTATGTTACCTCTTCGGGGTTATGAGTTATGAATGATACAAAAATCATCTTGTTTTTGACCAAAATTAAAACTGTTGAACTCCCATAAAAATACAATAATATTATCCCATTTCCCTTTTTTTTTTTCTGAACAAATCCTTGAGGACACTTCTTCACATTAACTTTAAGTGTGAAACAGCTGAAGTTAACACGTTTCTAGCGAGACGGTGATTGACAGTGAAAATGCTTTCCTCTTTCTCTGACCACCCTACCAAGGTGGGAGTCATCAGATGTGTTTAAAAAATGAAGCAGGTGTTGCTTCTTTAGTGGCTGTCCTCTTCAAGGGGGGCTCCTTGGCGTGGTGAAGAGGCTCTTGGTCTGAGGAATTAGACCTGTTGGTCTCCTTCCTCAGACAGAACCTAATTACCCCCCAATCGCCCCTTCTCTATCCCATCCTCCATTTTTCCTTTCCTCTTCCTCCCCCCCGTCCCTCCCTTATTCCCCTCCTCTTTTTGGTCTTCCCACAGGCCCACTGGTTCCTAGGTAGGGGGAAGGACACTGGGGTCAATCCCATTCTGTTGAGGTTCTTGGCGGTGGTGTAGTTTGCCGTGGAATCTGGGGATGTCCCGTTCCCTCTCCAGTCTCCCAGGGGGGGTGGCTTTGGGTGTCTTTCGAGCGACGGGTGTATCTCTGGAGGCCGCCTTTCGGATTCCCGGGGTGGTGACCAAAGGAGGTATGCTTTGTGGTGGATATCCGGCCGCCCTCTCTTTTGTCCACTAAGGTAGCTTGGCAGATGTGAGATTGCTATCCTGGATTGCTGATTTACTGGCATGAAGGGTAGGGTATGGCATGGGTTCCATGCTGCATCTCCACTACTTGCGGTGTTGAGGTCCTCTTGGGTGCAGAGGGCGATTTCCGGCCCTTTCATTCCTCCTAGGAACTGTTCCTCCCTGTTCCCCACCCCCCTTTTTTATTTTTATTTTCTTCTTTCTTTTTTTTTCTTAAATACAAAAAGAAAGAAGTAACCTAACCATGGAAGCCCTAGTCCATGAACCTGCTACACCCAGGCCCCTCCTTGATACAACACCCCATTCTGACATTGCCTCATTTTTTGACCACTCTTTGGACACTCCTGATGCCCCTGTACCTCTTGCTGGTGCTGTTTCATCACCCGCTTCAGGTACCAGGGTTTTGACTGACTCCTTCGATTTGTCTGACCTCCACTCTCCTTTGATTATGCTTCCGGCCTCTCCCTCTACGGCATGGCAATTTTCGAATCGCCAGCCCATCCCACGTCGGACCAACTCTGGTCCCACTTCTAAATGCCAACGACAATGCCTGATGATAATACTTCGCCACCTTCTCGTTCTACTTGGAAAAGATCTACACGTCATGCACTCCCTTTCCACACTCAGTTTCGGAATGCAAAATGGACTATATTCTTTACTTTACGACCAACTTCCTCTATTGCCTATCTTTCCGATCATAGTATTGGCAAGGCACTCCTATGCCATGTTGGTAGAGATATTTCCAGAATGCTACCCAAGCTCATGATCTTTCTCTTCTTTCACATATCGATACTATTCTTGTCACTATCGAAAAACATCATTCCCTCAATACTTGTAGTGGTACTGTCATTCTGCCCCATACAGTAGTCCAACAGAATTTCCAGACATGTGGCAATGACATTCTCGAACAGCTGGAACTCCAAGATCTCCCAATCCTCAAGGTAGACACTTATGTCCTTCCTGCCCATGGGCGGAGACACTACCCTTGCAATGTGGCTCGATTAACTTTTGTCAGCCATGAACTCCCATCCTCTGTTTATGTAGCAGGACATTGGTTACAAGTTCGAAAGGTGATCCCTACACCACAACAGTGTAGAAATTGCTGGTGATTTGGTCACCCAGCGAAATATTGCAGATCTATAGCCGAATGCCCAGTCTGTGGTGCTGATGACCATTCCAATGTCTTGTAGTCGACCTCCCTCTTGCCTTAATTATCATGAGGCTCACCCTTTGTACTCTCGCCATTGCCAGATCTACTTAAATGAGCGAGAAATCCGTTGTCTCAAAGAGGCAGGTCTCCCTTATGTTATGACAGTTTCTCATCTCCACCTCCAAGGGAGACTACCCCGTGTTTCTTATTCTCGTGTTTCTAAATGTCTCCCCCACTTCTGGGGTCCCATCTTCTGCAGCCTCCTCTGTGGTTACCCCTCCCATAGTCACTCCTGTATCTAATTCTTTTGCTGTCCTGGGCTCAGACGTCCCTACTTCAACACCTCAGTCTGTTTTCACATCTTCGTGTTCTCCCTCACAAGCCCCTGTATCGACAAGACCTCGTACGACACATTCTACTAATCGCCCCTCTACTTCTCAGAAGTCCAAAATATTCCCATTGCTCAAATCTTCTTTGCCCCCTCCTTCCCTTCTTCCACCTCCACATTTTACCTTTCCAGTCTCTGTGCCTGGTTCTTCCTCTCTCACTGGCTCTATTACAAGTGTGGAGGTTC